TTTTTTTGCCACCCTACCTCTATATTGTAAAGCAAATGAAGAAGCCTAAGCTGTGTATCACACTGCGATAAAACACTCTGGACATTTGAGAACACTCGCCTTGGCTCATGTTTTCTACATTTCCCTCGTGTTCTTAAGTGCCCATCGTGTTTTATCACAGTGTAATACATGGCTTAGGCTTCTTTATTTGTTAAATATTGCCCGATTATTAAAACCCATGCATGTTACAAAAAACATTTGAAGGCTAATAAACACAGTCGTCTCTATTTGGTGCAAAAAATAAGCTTGGATATTTGTCTTTGGACATTATCTGTTCTTCGAAGCTCACAGTTTTCCTCGAGCTACGCTCTCGGAAAACTGTTCGCTTCTCAGAACAGTAATGTCCACAGACAAATATCGAGCATATTTCCACACCAAATGGAGGTTATTGTCTATTTATGCCAGATTATCCCATATGAAAGTGTGTACATAGAGTAGGCAATTTTTTTGGCATTATTTGATTAAACAAGCATTTTTTTTTCACACTTTTTCTGTAAAAAGAATCGCTAGCATTATTTACATGTAGCATTTTGCATAACTTTGATCTAGATTTCAGTACTCAAAAGATTTAAAATGCTAAATTTTAGAATTCAAAAGCATTGTGATGATTTGCTTTTGTGTTTGACAGACGGATTTCTCTAACTGTATGAACTGAGTGTAACTGATCAGCGCTTAACTTTCAGCAGTTCACGCACCTGTACATGTACAAACAAGATGGCTGTGCTGCCGAAGATGTTGTTATCCCGACTGAAGAGAAGAAAGTCGAATGGTGGTGTGGGCACGAGGAGCAACTTCCTCGTTGGGCTTCTGCAGTGAAGTAAGTTCTCCTTGTCCAACCATCGTCTGCTATCATGATGGCAGAAAGAGTATTTTCAATACTGAAGGCGTCCTTCAGCAAGCAACAGAATTGTGCTCTTGTTGACTACCTCCAGGCCAGCGTCATGTCACAGTACAACAAGCGCTAAGGACTTTGAACATTAATTAACTGTTAATCACTGGGCAAGTTTTGGCTGTATCAGAAGTTTTATAAACAAACAATTTAACATTTTTCACATTATTCAGTTGCTGATACACACATGATGCCTGAGTTTCTACGTTTTGCTTGAAATAAA